CTGCTCACCAGTCCAGCCACGCAGGGACAGGAACCCAGTGAGGCTAGACCGGCCTGGACATCAACAGTTCACTGGTGCTGCAGCAGAAAACAACAGGAAGGAAAAACTGAACACAGGAGGAGAATACAAACAAGCTGCAGAACAGAACCATTTACTTTGAAGACTTTCTTATTCCGAGATATTGGAATAAATTAAAAAGCCATTTTGGTGTTTTTGCATGTTTTACACCACAAATCATGTCCTGTGAATCATATTTTTGATTTTTTTAAGCATGTTTTCCCACCTTTCAGGGAGTTGCTGATTTCCATTAAATTTCATTAACAAACAAGCATCTTAATTTGCATATTCATGTAATTCATCAAAGAGAAGAAGAAATTGTGTCATTGCAGCATGAAGTTGTAATTAATACAGGAGAAAATGGCATAACCACAAAACTAGCAAAGTGAGTTGTATAAAAATATGCAAATAACATTTCAGCACACATTGAATCAAAATATGTTCTTGGCAGTTATGTAAATATAAAAAAGTAGGCTGATGGATCACAGTTTGTGGTCGTAATTGTTCTTGCAGAACAAGAGCAGGCAAAGAAGAAAGTTTCATAATATTATCATCTGTAATCTTACTAGAATATGAAAAAAACACCACTGTAACATGACCTAAAAAATAAATGAATAAATAAACGTATACATTTATGTAGAGTGAAAGACAGTGTAGAGTGATTTCACACAACAGACTGATAGGACATACATATGATTAGACAGTGTTGTGTGGTACCATCCTCCTAGCCTATATAGCCACATAAAGATTATGTGTTTAATTTAAAGCAGGGTCTAATATCCAAAAAGACAAATTCATACTTTTCATAAAAATACAGAATTTTGTTGTTTCTACTCTGGTCCATACCCTAAATAGAAATGTAATTGAATTTCATTAAGGCAATGTGTATGATAACATATTGCCCCAAAAAACTCATGTTGAACATCTTATTTAATAATAAAAACTATAATCTAATTCTTACACAGGCACAGAGCTTCTCTCTCCTACACATTATCCACCACTGGATTAGGAATATATCATGTCTGATCATGCTGCTGTCACTGCTCTTACTCGACACCGTTTAATCCTACTTACATCTAGAGGGAATGGACATACCATGACAACCAAGATACGGTACGTATGCAGCTGTAGCACTATTTCAAGAGACACTCTTATGGGTCGTATCAGAAGGTTGAAAAAAATACCTATATGGTTGATTAGTTTGGAGGACTGGTCTTTTTTTCTAGTTTTTCTGGCTGTAAAGAGCTTCCGTAGTGCCCCTTATATTTTCTTACAATCTCAGGATTTTTTATAATCTCATTATGTCTCATTATGTGATATTTTGATATCTCATAATTCTGGTATTTTAGCATTCATACTTTTTTAAATATCTTTTCATCTGTTTTCTTGACGGTAATGAACTTCCGTAGATCAAGGTTTCCTGCCCTTTATGTAAAACATTTCTCTGCTCCTCTGAGTAGAGGAACAGATTTACATCAGTGTGACTTGACTCTGATGTAACTGCATCCTCCCTGGGTTTCATATGCTTTGGCATCAGGGACGAGTCTGTCACCTCATCCTGTGTCACATCCTGGCAGAGATCAGATCACTGATTGCAGATGGAAAATGTTTCTAGAGGAAACATAAACCTTGCAAACGTTAACAACACAGATTGTGTTTGGAAAGTGCTCCAGAAATGGAAAAGCTGAGAAATCAAGAATCAGTGGATGAAGAGTTTTTGCATTTTGAATTATGTTTGTGAGTTATTCACCTGTCTATACTGGTTTACATACAGTATATTGGTTTAAGAGGTTCAAACTTCAACACTGTTAGGCACACAAAATGCCCATTTTTAAACTTTTCATGTATATAGTGTACGGCATGTCCCCTCTTAAACTCATTTAGAACAAAATGGACTGTTGAAAAACATAATTAATTATGAAATGATATAGTAAACTAGCTTAAAACTGATGAATAACAATTAACATTTCTAAAGCTGCAATGAATGATAAAAGAAATTCATAAAATCAAATTAAAATCTAACCTTGTATAATTGGCATTTTATATGTTCGTGCACAGTTCTGCTTTGGTCACTGTGGCCAGACAGATTATAAAATAATGGGTCCCTCTCCTGTATACCCACAGACCGTCTTTTTTGTTTCTCTTTGTAGCTGTTTTGTGAAGCCCAGGGGGCCCTCCAACCCTTTGGGCCCCTGGGCCTGTGCCTGGTTGGCCTGTACAGTAATCCATCCATGAGTGCACCTGACTTTATCTGCTGTCAGTGATTCCTGTAACATGATTGTTCAGGACATGTGGAGGTTATTTTTTATTTATCATGGCTCATGGGCTGCTTTCATGTGTTGCTTTGTGCATCTGTATGTAATTATTGTGGGTGGACTTGGTGTTAAAGTGTAGTCACTCAGCCTGCATAAAGGCTTTAGTGCACTTCCAGACAACAAACACCTCTGAGAAGCAGGTTTCTTCTTTATGTCAGCCACAACAGCAAGATTTTAGACTAGAATAAATGTGGGAAACACGCTGCCATAGCAATCTTTCCACACAATTCTAAATAAATTAGGAAATGATTTAGTTATGAAAAGAGAAACAGACCTAAATTCCTCACTAAGTAGTGATCTTTTTTAATTTTCCCTGTAATATTTGGTATGAAGAGTCTTTGTCCCACCTCCTGAAACAATCTGAAGTCCTGACAGGTTTGTCCACAGACAAAGCTAACATGGACAAAAACAATAAAGAATAATTTTCTTGACCTTTTTAGCTTTAATTATTCAAATCCAATAGAAAAATAGAGAAAAATAATGTTCCAGTATTCATACTATAGCAAATGATATGGTTCCTGCAACAGTTTATCTGACCCCAAATCAGCCTGTGAATACTGACACCTGGTGGACAGACACGTCCTTCATTTTCTCTACAGATCTCAAACTTTGGTTTTGTTTTGTAGATCATAACATCAAATAAAAGTATTTCCTCTGTGAAACTATCCACTGCTCACTTCTGCTTTTCATATATTCCCTTTTCTGTCCTAAACACCAATGGTTGTTTGAAGGTCCCGTTACCTCGTCTACCAGCTCAACACAGTGACTCAACAGCCAACTGAACCATACAGCAAAGGACACAAGAAAGTTGTGAAATATTTACATTTAAAAAAAAGCCTAACAGGCTAAAAAGGCTGCCCAACCAGCGAGCTAGCTGACTTACTCACCCCGACTGTATATAGGCTCAAATTAGGGTCGAAATGATTTTGAGCTTGTCAAGTAATCTTTACAAATACTACAACGCTTGTAAATCAATCCTTGTAAATGTGTAAACTAAATATGCATGAGAAATTCAACTTGAGAGATTTGTATTTGTTAAAAAAAGAGACTGAATCTAAACTGAACAAACGATCAGTGATGAGGTTAAACAAAGAAAGAAGAAATGCTTCTGTGGATGTCTGTGTACAGATACAGAGCAGAAAACTGTAAAACTCAGCATGACGCAACATTCCCAGTGTGTGACACTGACAAGTACAAATTTTGACACTTGTAACAGCAGTGTGACACACTGTGTGGAAACTTTTGAGCGAGTTTTGCACAGTTTTCTACTCTGTATCAGTACACCGATGTTGACAAAACCATTTCTTCCTTTACAGTGTCTTAGTATAACCTCAACACTGACCATTTGTTCATATGTTTGATTCACAGTCTCTTATAAACAAATACAAATCTCTTTGACACAAGCACATTTTTTTCACAAGCAGAAACTTCTCATGCAGATTTATTTTACAGGTTTACAAGGGTTGATTTACAACTACAAGCTTTGGAATTATTTGTGAACATCACTAGACAAGCTCAAAACCATTTCGACCCTAATTTAAGCCTATATTGGTATGGTGTGTAATCATGTGCATGACTTACCATTTTCTTGTTGGTTGTGGAGGACCATAAGGTGTGGTACTGGCCTGAGTTGGATTCTGGCATCCCTATGAAAACACATAATGGTTATCATATTAAATAAAAGGATTTTCCATTGCAGGGCAAACAAGGACATTTTAAGCAACTCTTCTTTTGACTATGAAATGTTTTTGAAGCAATTTAGGGTCTTAAGAACATAAAGGATTTATTAATGATCTATTTAAACCTCATTTTTTAAGTATTAATGTGGTGACAAAGCTTTATATAAGGTTCGTGTTGTGTTTCTGCAGACTGTCCTGTGCCCTGAGGGTGGTTGCGCAGCTGAAGGTCGCACTCAGGGCAACAGTGCTACTCGGCTGTAATACCTCGGAGGAGCACTCAGACTCCTGGAGGCAAAGAGCAATCCAGTACCTTGGTGTCTACGAGCAGTTCCTGGCCTTAAGGGGGCAGTTTACACCACTGCCCCAGATGCCCCGTCTACCGTCACCAGTCTGACTTCGGACAGTGTACTGCTATGATGTTCTGACACAGCTGGACGAGTGCAAGGCCAGGATCGCAGCCACCTTCTGATCCATCTTGAAGATGGATTCAACCAAGAATGCAAGTAAAGTTTATTATGTTCTTGCAGCTGCTTTAACACCACAGTTTCTGTGTGTGTGTGTGTGTGTGTGTGTGTGTGTGTGTGTGTGTGTGTGTGTGTGTGTGTGTGTGTGTGTGTGTGTGTGTGTGTGTGTTGAATTCACACACAAATGTCAACATTAACATTTGAAACCTTTCTCTGTCTCCCTCTCTCTGTCCAGATGAAGCAGAGGCTCGCTAGCTACTAGTACCATTCAATTATGTTACAGTGAGATATTTAGGGGCAGGTATTGCAGGGGTTTTTTTCTAGGTCAAGGGTCCAAAGAAAGTATTAGTAACATTAGAGAAGGCTTTTTTATAAGATGAAATGTAAGATTCAGCCCCCCTCCCCACCCAATAACTTTCACACTTTCCCTGCTTAACAGTGGTCTAAGGTAAAATGTCAGAAGCACTCTGGTTCAAAGCCACCGATATAAACACAAATCAACTTTATTTTGAACAGAAAAACATATAACTTAACCTTGCTTTTCCAAAGATCCAGTATTTATAACAAACTGTAGATCATTTTCATGCTATAATCATGCTTATTTGTATATAGGTTGACAGTTCCACAGGGTAGAAACTGTGGAAAAAAGACAGACTTTGATTTAGATGTTTTCTCCCTCACTGCATGTGTTAAATCCCAGGTGATACGTGATTATTTAAAAACTCATCGTTGTCAAATTGAAGAGGATACACTGGCTGATTAAACACACATCATCTAATGATTATCATTTGCAATACAGTTCTCACACCACAATATATACATATATATCAGAAAAATGATAACAGTTAATAAATAGAGGACAAAGAACACAGAGTCTATGATTTTAGCCAGTCTTTTGTAGCGTCCAGGCTTCCTCTTGTCTTTGTCTTGACTTCCAGCTTCCTGTCGAGCTGCCTTCACTTCCTCCAGGATTAGTCTCAGCAGGTTGTGGTCGCTCTGGCTGTTCAGAGGACCTGGATTCACCTGGCCTTTCTCTTCAACTTCAGCATGCTCTGTGTAGGAGAGGAGGAACATTACTCAGCAGAATCAGCTGATACGCCTTCAGTGTCTACTTGTAGGATCACCAATGCATCTGTATTGGGATGTGAATTGAAATGACAGTGTGTAAATATGAGATGTGTCTCTGGTAGTTTATGTTTTTTCAAAGTGGATATAAGCGCATGAGACAAACTGTTAACTGAGCATGCGGCTCTTCATTAGCTTAGCAACATATTTTAGCCTGCTCCACACATCCCATAATGCCCTTCATACACCAACCTGAGTCCTATTGGTCCATATACATAAAATTTCCTATTATAAAAACATATTATGTCAAATGATGATAACTCATTAATATAGTGCCCAACAATAATAACACATTTACACACTGTCAAACAATAGTACCACAGTAGTGATGAACCTGCAGAGAATTATCACCTGCATCTGCAGCTCCCCTCGGTTTTATGGAGCGTTATAAAAAGTTTCAGCTCATTGTTTATCTGTCTGGACCACCACAACTTTACTGTTCTACTTCACTCTCACTGCTTTCCTAGAGTTGTTTTCAGCTGCAGCAGGCAGCTACTTTCAGTAAAAAAAACACTGTTCACTACCTGCTCAGCAGCAAACAGCACAGACACAGTTAAAGTGGAGCATTTAGCAGCTAAACAGACAGATATTTCCCTCAGGGATTGGAAGAGACAAAATAACAGAGCTAAAAGAGAGGGAATATTGTACTTAAATTCATTAGGTAGCCAGAAACATGCCTGTGTATGAACGATAACGATGAACTACTGGATGTGTAAATAAGCAACTCAAGAGGGCCAAATAAAGGTTTAAAGCTGATTTCTTTATCAACAATGCTGATGCACTGTGAATGGAGTGTACTCTTCAGTTCCCGTCAGCTTTACAAAACTTACACATTCTGCTGGCTTCAGCTGTGGAGACTGGGGAAGTCACTGAAGTTCACTGAACTCACTGTCACGTTCATGAAACCAGTTTGAGACTACTTTTGCCTTGTGACAGTGCATTAAAGGGATGCACATGGTCAGCAACAATACTCAGATAGGCGGAGGCATTCAAACCATGATTGACTGGTATCCTGTTTGCATGGTTTGCTGTGGTACAATTGTCTGTCTTTTCCTCTTCTTCCTTTTTTGAGGATTTTACTTATTGTTCTTAATAAATAGCCTCTTATGGCAGCTGACCCAGGCTGACTGTTGGGGCCCCTGTGTTTCTGGTAGTTCTGGGTATTTAACACTATACTCAGAGACATAGAGTATCTTTACTTACCCTGGTGATAATCGGCTTCCAGCTGAATTTCCACTTGGGTTTTAACAGAGCTTTGAGCCTTCTTACCACAATAATCATCAAGCTCCATTAGGAAGCTCACCAGCATGGCCTCCAGGACGCTTATCCCCACCAAAGTGAAAATCGTAACACAGTATCTGGCTGGAATAAACGTGCAGTGGTCAGTGTAATATCGTTGACACCATTAAAGAAGATACTGAACACTATCACTCTTAAATCTCTGGTCTGAGGCTTGTGTGGCGACTCACCGATTATTGGCAGGTTGACTTCAGTGGAGGGCAACATGTCCCGGAGGATCAGCAGTAAGACAGAGATGGACAGGAGTATAGTCATTTTGAAGCTCAGCTTTTCACCTCTGGCCTCATTGATGAAAAAAGAGGCCAGATCCAGGACCAGAAAATACACCAGGGGAATGATTAAATTTATCACATAAAGCATTGGCTTCCTAATGATTTTGATCTGAAAAAAATGTAATTATTGAATTAATTAATTAGAAACAAACACACTTGGAGAGAGGGGAAAGAATTTTTATCAAATTTCATTATATGGATTTTCTTACCATGTATACAAGTTTGCTTTGACTTTTAATATCTTTGGTAGGAGTATAATTAAAAACCTCAATGGTTTTAAGTTGCCATTCTCCATGTGTAATCATGAGCCGCTCAGAGATTGAAGTAAGAGTTGTGTCACTCGTTGTTGTTGCTAGTTTTAAAGTTTCCCCTGCGAACATAATCAAAATTAAATAATTACATTAATTATACAACATGGTAATTCCGTATGTAAAAATATTAAGGTAGTAGCCTGTAGTTCATCTGGTGCAATGTACCATTATAGTTCATAGATGTAAATGTGATGGCACAGTGTTGAATATCAAAGGGGAACAGGAAGAGATTCATCTGACAGGTGAAGGTCAGCCGCTGTATTCTGTTCGCGAACACAAAACCGCTGGGAATCAAAGTGATAAGTGGACTGTTGTGAATGCTCCCAGAATCAGAGGCACTGAAGGAACAGGGAGAAATTAAAAGTTAAACGGTAACATTCTTCTCTCCATTATATTTCAGTGAATGGATGAATGTACTTGCTTGTCTACAAAGTGAGTCACACCACTGAGGCTTAATCAGTGTACTTTTTTTAGATTTCATTCCAAATTTAAAGCAAAAATGTTGGTGTTTTTTCTCTCCTGTACATTGAAAAATGTGTTTATTTTACCAGTGGAAGTTTTGTTCAAGAAAATGTGTAATGATTTATTTCACAGGGCTGTTATTCCCTGATCATTTCTAAAATGCTTCCTGGAAAGAGCCATGTAGTTTGGTGCTTAATTACAGGACAAATAGGGATAAAGTCATTACTTTAGTTAGTACAGGTGTGTTGACATTATTATGGGCCAGCTGTGGCTCAGGAGGTTGGGCGGATCAACTGTTTTCTCAAGTCTACCTTCTCTGTGTGTGTAGGGTGATGCTGGCTCAAGATCTCTTTGGCTTTGATTATGCTTGTGTCAGCTTTTGCTTTAACATTTTACTCTTCATAATATATGTTTAATATGCTGTTATGAAAAGGAAGACTGTACTCTCTATGTCAACATTTGTGTAAATAATGCAGGATATAAAAAAAACATAAAAGAATCTGAGTGGATCCTATTTTAGTTCTTCTGTTTTTCTTTACAGTGGTTTGGTGTAAATTGTATCTCTGGTTCAGTTCATTAAATGTATTCAAGACAGGCTGTGAGCCCTGCTTTCCTGAGCCTTAGACCAAACCCACAACCTGCAGGTATGTAATGGCTGGTACATACTCCTCTTGGATGGTTACATCTGGGATCCACAGCCTTGATCTTGGAATGGTCAGCATGTCTATCCCACAAAAGTCTGATGAATTCCACGTAAGGAATTCATTTTGCCATTGCTGGGAAAAGAACAAAAATAAACATTGCTGATTGTGAGATTCAAAGAGCCATGACAATAAATTTAAAGCCAAGCAATGTCGCTGAAGTTGATATATCTGGTGATTACAGACCACTGATGTGAAAATGCAGTTACATTCTTTGGCACCTTGATGTGCCTTTCCTGTCAGTCCAGAGTCTTACCATGTGGAACCAGATGTGACTGGTGACGGTTTGAGACTTCTCATCCTGCAGACAATCAGCAGCACTGTGGTGAGCACTCATGGCATTCGCAACAAAAATAGCATGTTTAAGTGAAAAACTCGATTCATCCGACTCAGAAAAACATGTATTTATGCAGATAGTTTTGCCTTCATTTCCCCCGGTTTGAAGATATCTGACCCAGACCATTAACTTAAGTGAAAATAACAATCTCACAATGTATAAAAATCTGCCATAATATAATCATAAAAGTTCAGCGTTTAGTTCCTGTTAGATTTGTTGGGGGACAATAAGTGCATGGGGTATGGTGACCTTGTGTAAATCCCAGCAATCCCAGGTGGAGGAAGTTTTCAGGTCCTTCACTCAAGTAAAAGTATCAATACCACTATGTAAAAATACTCCATTTGTAAACGGTGCATTTAAAATCATACTTAAGTTAAAGTACAGAACTGTTATCAGCTCTCTCTCATTACTGTAGTTGGGAGTAGAAATATAAAGTAGGAATAAATTGAAATACAAGTACATCAAAAGTAAAAAAAAAAAAAAATAGATACACTCATAAAAGCAATGCACTCAAAAAAGAAACTTACCACTTCTAAAATGCCATACAACAGCATGTCCAGGTGAACGAGGGTTGGTGTAGTCCAGTTTTTGACAGGTCGAGTGATTTCTAGAACATTGTTTGTTGAAGTCAGGTTTAAATAATTCAGGAGACCTACGTATGAGCAGTCTGAAGTCTGACTGCTCGAAATACCTTCAGGGAAGGAGGAAAAAAACCCTTTAGAGACCAGGAAAACGCAACCCTCAGAAACTGATACAACACAAAACCTACACATCTTCATTCTAACATTTCTAAATCCCAATTACTGTGTTTTATGTCTTAATAAAAAAAAGTATTTTAAGTTTAATTTAACAACTCACCAATTAAAGCAAGAAAAGTGAGAGTCCGCAGAGCTGACATGGCTATTTGCCTTCAGCTTCTGAGGGAAACCTTTCAAACTGCAAAACACTTATATAAACTGTAGGACAATACAACAATTATGTGTAGAACATCAATAGATCTAATTAACTGGACTGTCAAAGTGGAAAATAGCTTCTCTTTGTTCCTGTGGCCTGTTGTTTGGGGATATAACACAAATCACCCGTATATTTCTATTGTGGAGCTGCAGCTGAAGCTCAAAAGTCAACACGAGGAGATCTCGGTGTATATCAGTTGGGAGTGAGGGTTTTTCAGTGCACACACATGCTTACGATGTCTGTGGTCAAGAAAAAAACAGGCATGAGACAGGCTGAAATTTAAAAATCTTAAAATGCACAAAAAAGAAGTGAACAGCAACATTTCGGCTGCATGTTTCAGTATCTAAATACCAAAAGTCTCCTGTGTCTAAAGGTTTACAACAGTCAGATAAAAAAAAAAAAAACACATTTTCCTTGTAAAAAAAAAAAAAAACAATAGAACAATCAATATACCACTAATATCATCCAAGTGGCAGTTACAGACATTGCAAAATTTGCAATTCCATGACAACTGCACACAGAAAGAAAGAAAACTCCATTGATTATTTTCACACAATAGGTGTAGAGGACATGACATTTACAGATTCCACTATGTAAACAAATTTGTTTCCCCAACCACTGAGTGAGAGACTCCCAGTCTCAAGAAGATTGGCAGCAGAGGAATTTTCCAACATGACAACGATGTCAGAGACACTGCAAATATCACATAAGAACTTTTAAAGAATACCTAGAATTACTGCCTCACGGTGGTATGCCTCCGCCACTCAGACTAGTTTCAGATTACATCCTTGTTTTTCCACAGTCATATGAAATATTAATAATTTGTGTGTTTGTCATCATTTCTGTTTGAAATCTTGAGTAATGGTCAAATTTGAAGGGATTCCCTTGAGGAGTTCTCGAGATATTGCGTTCACAAGGCCAAAATCATGTTTTATGAGGTCACACTGACCTTGACCTTCAACCACCAAAGTCTAATGAGTTCGTCCTTGAGTCGAAGTGGACATTTGTGCCAAATTTGAAGAAGTTCCTTCATATTTTAAAGTGGAAGGTAGAGCAGTCTGTTGGGCCCGAAGATAAAGAAAAAAAACTTTTCTCTATCGACTCTGTGTCAAAAGTGTAAACAAAGCAAACACTGTTATTTTCGTCACTGTTCCATTATGCAATTTGCAAATTTCCAACTTTTGGCATCGCCAAGTGGCAGCAAAAAAAACCCAACATATTTGCAGACGGCAATGCACACCCCTACCCATGCCAAAGATCCGACCTGGGGACCAAAGCTTTGGCACTAAAACCACACACACTAAATCAGACACGCAAAAGAAATTTGCATTTTTACATATCGTCTCAATAGATGCAGATTTATTGAAAAGTCCTGGATACATGTAGGTGAATGTTTTACATTAGAGAGCAGTGAGGTCTCAGGGGTACACATCTTTTGGCAGCTGGAAGTCTTTGAAGGTGTAGAAGGAGATGTCTCCATGGTCCACCACAGCAATGACCACTGGGACGTCTCCGCTCTGGGAGGCCAGCAGCTTGATAGCTCGAAGGTCAGGCACGGGATCATTGAAACTGAAACACAGGAGTGAGGGAATCAAACTATGTTGGCAGTTTCTAAGGACACACAGGTCAACATAACTCAAATTCAAATTCACAATCTTTAACAATTAATCACTTAGTTGAAACACAGCGTTAAAAAGTTTTGATGCGTATTTGTAAGTATTTTCTGCCATTTTACAGACTATATGATCAATAAATAATCAACTTAATTTAGGTAATTGCAGTCTTATCACAATCACCAAAAGACAGATCCATTCATATCCAGTCACTGTGAGATTTATGTCATTCAACTGAAATGCCTGTTGTTTCCTGTAAACCAATCTTGAGTAAACATGGCCTCAGGCAGATTGTGCGATTGCTTACCTGCACACACACATGCGGGAGTAAGGTTTCCCGGGGTTACTCTTTTTGAAGTCAGCCACCGAATCAGGTTGGTAAACATTGAAGCAAATCTTCCACTCATCCGATCCTTTTAACCTGAGCACACAAAGCACAAGGTCATCAGTATGCGCTCTCCACCACAGTACAATACATCAACCCCGGTGTACGAGAACACAATGAGGCAGCGACAAACACCAGAGCCGCAGCATCTCGCTGCTTTGTTTCAGAGTCTTTATGGGTTTGCAGAGGTCACAGATTGTGGCAAGCTCAGTTCACAGAAAGTACAAATTCTGATTTATCTTCCTTCACAGGTGAGTGAGAGCTGATGTCTATTAATCACAATGATCAGACAGTAGCTGCATGAGATCAACCTTTTAATACCAATCTGGCCTACATAATGATATGCTACAATAACTCATTAATACATTTCAGGTCTCAGATTGAAATGTGACAATAACTAAACTGAACTACAATAACTACAAAATCTTGCATCATTCTCTAGAATAATTTTGGCTGAACCAACATACACCTGATGGATCTGAATCTGATGTGGCTCTGACACTGATTCATAAACAGAAACATGTTTTTCAGCCCAGCAGCAACATACTGTGATCTGTGAGAAGGCGTCAGGCTGTAAACAGGAGTAGTACAGATGGGTCAGACCCAGAGTTTTATTTAAAGTATTTATTTATCAGTCCATTTTTAATTTATTCTCCCCTTTTTTATTTATTTATTAAGTTTTATTTTATTTTGGTTTGATTTGTTCATTTATTTCTCCATTTTCAATTCCTCCTTTATCTTTGCTGTCATTGCCTTCCTCTTACTGTCTCCTGACTGACCTGGTATCTGGTAAGGCTAAAGGGTAATAAAAGGAAACAGAAACAAGTGATACCTGGACGCTCCCTCGAGCAAATTTGTAGATTTGATCACACTGATTTTATCCAACAGTTCCCCTGGAGCAAAAAAAACAAATATCAGTGACTTCAAATTAGACGCAAGTGATGTAGATTAACTTTGAATTGACTTTACAGTCTAGGTCCATGTGATCTCACCAGTGGGGATCAGTTGTCTTGGGTCATGTAATGGAGTGACTTCTCTGTTCCACAGGTGTGCTGGTCGACCTTTACGTCTCCCCTGCCGCCTCGCCAGGAGCTCCTGATACTCTGCCCAGTTTCTGCACCGCTGAACCTTAAAGGAACTCCATAATGTAATAATCCCCCATAATGTGCCTTTTTTATATTGGTTAAAAATAAACATAATGATTTCCCAGATACAACTAGATTTGTGTGGAACATTTTGATGTTATGTTACAGTTGTTTAATATCTGCTGCTACAAACCTCTTTGTCTTTGTTGACGTCCCACCGACGCCTACGCTTGTCTTCTTCCCTCCTCTGCTCCTTTGAGGACAGCCTCACCTCCCGCAGGTTTATTCTCTGCCTCCAGGACGCAACGTCACAGACTCCCACAGCCAAAGCCCCGGGAAGCAGCGAGGGGTCTGGAGAGGCCAGGCGGCTGGAGAGCTGCCCCCTGGAGCCCAGGTCAGGGAAGGAGATGGAGCTGAAGTCCCAGCGGGAGGAACCAGAGGTTGGGCTATGATCTGACCCTTTACCCAAGTCCCTGAGAACATCTGTCGTCCACCAGGTCCTGCCGCCACCTTCATCTGTTGTACTTGTGGTGGCAGTCTGGACCTGTGCAGTCTCTGGAGAGGTTGTCAAGTGTGACTCAGGAGGCTTTTTGTTCTCCTCACCATCATGGTTGCCTTTATCCTCCTCCATTCTCTCAGTGGTGGACTCTTCTTGTGCTTCTGAATGACTACAGCAAGAACAACAAGTGTGTACCCCTTTGGTTTATGGGAAAATGTGTGTGTTTTACACTGACTAATGGTCGAAAACTTCACATCACATCAGTCATTTATTCTAACAAAATATGAATAAACTCAGCTGAATCAGATCACCAATGGAGCTGAAATCAAATTGCAACAAAGAAAATGAAGTGGTGTTCTGCATTTCAGAAGCATAGACCTGCCACTGCTAAGGGCTAATCAATGCTATTACTTAACTGCTTAATCAAGAAAATAGTCAACAGCTTGTTCTATTATTAGAAAATAATAGTTCTACCTTCTTTTGTCTTAATTGAACAGTGGCTGAACAATAAAATCTAGTTTTATCCTTGTATTCAATCTCTCAAATAAAATGGCTGGCAGTAAATACAGTGTACTATATAGTACAGAGGGAGTGGTTTTCTACAGGGCCTCTGTTTACCTGCATGTTGGGGTGGGGCTGGCGCTGCGCTTCCTCTTCAGTTGTCTCCCTGCTCTATCACGTGACTGAGGCAGGTTCAGCTGCCTCACGTATGGCGACGGCTCTGAACTGTAAGAGGCCAAAACACAACATCCGCATTCAGCAGATTTTTGAAACGTGGACCTCCACAGCAGCATCATCCAAAATACTAAAAGCTAAATAATTACAAATACAAATACAAAAATAATAAGTTGTGACTATGTGTATAAGAACAATTTGATTATGATTAATGATTATGTTATTATGTACACATAATAAGATAATAAGATGTGTTGTAGATTGATGGAAGGAAAACAACACTGCCGTCCCTAAGGATCAGTACTGAAAATTAATTCCCACATTGTTATGTTTTAATGTCTGCTTGTACTTATACATATCTGACTGGGACGTTAAGATTCTGTTACCTGGGATCAAACCTGTGCACCACGTAGCCAAGCCTCTTCAAATGCCCGAATACCTTTGTGATGAATGAGAATCATTAGACCAGTACAGCACTTTGTTCCTCATCCAGAATGTGTGTTGGACTAATAGTTGTACCTGATATTGCTGGAGCCTCACTGTGTTCGAGGACAGAAATCTCTCATAACCGTCCTGAATGGACAGCGGCAAGTCCTTATAAAACACCTGCAGGTTTCCCTGTTCACACATCGACACTCACAAACGTCAGAAATCAATAGTTTACAGATCACAAGACTCCTTAAGGGTTACTTAAATATTAAAGAATAAACACAAAGAGTGTTGTGTTCCAAGTCAGAGTGCCACACCCTGGCCAACAGGTTTAATCTGCCACTCACACATTCCATCAGGTAGAGAGCCTCTTCAGGGAGGAGATACTGTTTGCCATCGGCAGAAAAGCCCATCGTCTGCCAAAACTTTCCCTGTTTACAAAAATATATATAATGATTGTAAGACACATTATAATAATTTGACAAACATTTGATAATGAGGTGATAGGAGATGCAGTGCAGAGGTTGTCAGCTTGTCACAGGGTGTGTGTGTGACTGTAGTTTGTCTCATTTGGTGTGACACAGTACTCACAGCTGGAGACTGAAGCTCCACAGTCTGGTCACTTGGAATCCATGTGGCCCTCACTAGGTTTCCTCTAAAATCAAAACAGTGAACATATATCATATGTCAGTGCAGCACAACCTGACTCTTACTGTTTGCACAGACTTAACATCGACAGCAGGGTTGATGGGAGACTGAACCTTAACGTGCTGTAAAACCAAACAATGAGCTAAAAGAGGCAAAAAAGCTCAGTAAAGAGTTGTTGATAATTACCTATTCACTCTCAACTCATCACTACAAGCGACTCCTTTCACATCACATGCATTCATTTGACCCACTTTTACTATAAACCTAATGATTAGTGGAGCATGAAATATTTCCTATGCTCCAGCTACAGTGCTACTTCTCTTTTATTTTTTACAGTCTATTTGCAGAGATGTCAAAATCATAAGCTAATTCATCACAGTGCACATTTAGTCACTGTTATTTTTGTCAAAGTGTTAGGGGTTAGCAGCCGAAGATTTCAGAGCTGATTTAAAGCAGAACTGCAACATTATCATTGTTTGTCTTCAGAGCTCATGGGTCTTTGATAATTGACTTCAGGGTCTGGCAGAACACCCTTGAATGCATCACTAAGGAGAAATCAAAGAATAATACAACTAATATTTATCACTTGGGATGGATGGATAGAAGGATGGAACGCCTACTCACAGCCTCTCCACTCTCTCCTCTGATATGAGGCTCCAGTGTTCATTCAGGCTCTGCTCAAGCCGCTGTCTTTGCTCGTCTGAGTCATTGGGGAAGAAGTCCTTCTGTCCTCTGACTGGGATCTTGTGACTCCTGGACCGGGCTGCAAAAAGCTCAGACGGACTGGAATTTAAAGAAAGACGACAATGCTCAGCTCCAGACACTTGACATGTGCAAGACAACGCAAGCAATAAAAGTTCATTAACATTTGAATAAAGGCTATTTTTTAAATGTCTGTCTCTGGGGGTTGTACTTACTTGTTTTCACTTCAGAAATCAACAAAAGATGTAATTTGCTCAGGGGTGCCACAACTTTTGCACACATGTGTACATGGTGCACAAAAACTAAACCTTGCTCCACAGAGGAGACCTGTCTCATACCATCTAAAGGGTCTGGACAAAACAATGCCTGATACCAAAACCACAATTTCTGTTGTATGCTCTACTGGACAATTTTGTATCGTATGACTGGTGAAGTAGCCCAAAGCTGCATGTAATAGCTTGCAGTAGTGTGTATTTCCAGTGTCATAAAGAGTGAAACGGTCATGACTCATTGTCACAGGACATCGCCCAGTTATTCAACAAAACAGTCAACTGTATGATGCCCTGCTTATGAACCAAATATAGCGATCGTTGGGAACAACTTTTTAACAGCAAACTCTCAAATCCCCCACATGAGTGCATTTACTCCAGTTAATTCATTATTTTTGCGGTCTTTTCTCTCCTCTTTCCCCAAAACACACCAGCAGAGGACGACAGAGAGAAACTAGCGTAGAGACCCAATGGGTCATAAACCGTCTCGGTTAATTAATATCCACCATTTCACCTCTGGAGATAACCTAAGCTCCAGCTACACAGCTGTTTTACAAGTTTTTCACACCAATTTCAGTGATGTTTTCCCAGCACATGTTTGTAACACTACTCCATAACTTAGTTAACAGTTAGATGTACATGTCCCACCATGTGAACAGGGAAAACGTCAAAGAGCCCAGACAACAGAGAAAGGTGAGTAAAAGTGCCACCGAGCGAGAATGACAGAAGAGTTATTGCTGCCTGTCTTTATAATTATTGGGGTTTTTTGCCAATTTGGGCGACAACGCACCTTAATATTTCACTGAAGAACGTCCCCTCGGTGTCTGTCTTGTTTTGGTCCGCCATGATGACTACCAGTCTCCCCGCCGCAGCTCTCTGGGTCCTGATGCCCGTCAGGTTCAGTGATTAAAAGTAGTTACACTCATGGCCAGCAGAGGGTGCCAGTGCACAAAGAGCCCTTTGGATTTCTGTCCTGAAAGTGTTAAAAATTTACATTTCACTTAACTAACTTAGATCTACAACAATTAGTCAGTCAACAGAAAATTAATCTTTTTAATTAAATTAATTAAAGCTGCAACTATTTTAATAAGATATTAATTATTTCAGTCCTATTTCAATCAAAAAATCTCAGATTCACTGATTAAAGGACCAGTGTGTTGGAGTTAGTGGCATCTAGCAATGAGTTTGCAGATTGCAATCAACTGAATAATACCCCTCCCCTCACCCCCTTTCCCGTAGGAGACCCTACATTGGTCTTCAGGTAACATAAAAATACAAAAGGCCTGTTGTGTTTGGTTTTTCCGTTCTGGGCTACTGTAGAAACATGACAGGGCAGAATTGCGGAGCTCATGGACCCATTCACTATGTACAGTAGATATGACGTGCTCATTCTCGGCTAATGAAAACACAACAATTATTAGTTTCAAGTGATTATACATGAATGAAAACATAATTATGAATCTTATATTCAATTTCTGCTCATAGATGCCCCTAAATCCTGTAAACCAAATACTTTGGGGGTTTTGGATTGTTGTTTGAATAATTATGTTTATTAATAATTATTGTAATGTCATGAAGAAATAATAATGAAAATTATCCTAAACTACATTCACATTTTCTCTGGAATAAACATAGAAAACTATCACATTATATTAACCACCAGTGCAATTCACTGTGATGTCCAAAAGGCTTTTCATCAGACATTTTTCATGATTATTCCTTGTTGTTTTCAATGATGAGAACTGGGATGGCTTGTTTTTGAATCATGTTAATGAATTTGAATTACTCTGACATAATGCAATGCCAAATGGGCTTCCCAAAACTCAATTAAAGTTTTTCCTTTTTTTCTCTTTTTTTTTTCAAAAACTTTAAAAAAAAAATGTAGGTTTTTGTTCAATTGATCCTTGCCTATTATGAGATCATTTGTTTTAGCTAGTAGTAGACACAGTGCTTCCTATAGGTCTGAGCAAACAGTGTCAAAAATCAATTCCTCAATTCCACATTATGGTTTTGTAAAACTTTCTCTGACAATCGGCAATTGTGGTCACCATTGTTTTTGCTGTTATGAAAAGAAACAACTATAACATATCGTTGCACACAGCAGTTTCCATGATGTCTGTTTTCTTCAAACTACAAAAAATAAAAGTCTTACAGTTTTAACTCTCAAGCAATGCATGCTGGGATGCTAGTTTTGTTTCTTTCAAATCTTCATTCAAAACTTCATTCAATATAATAGGAGCATTTCATGTCATTGTTTTAATTTTATGTAATGTAAAAATGCCAATAAATAATATTGACAAAAAAAAACTTAATTCAACTTATGATTTAAAGTCAAAAGTTAGAACAATAATAAAATTCTGAATGAAATAACCTGAAATTATAATTGACTTGAAATAACAAAATTTACATATTTACATTAACAAGCAAAGATGAGTTGATTGAATATGATTAAATTCCTGTAGGACTTTTACAGTGTATGCGCTTTGATATCGACTGTATGAATGAGGAAATGAAGCATTGTGTCAGACAGCTTCTTCAGGCTTGACCGGAGGGGAGAGACACTTAGGGTTTGTTGAAGAAAACCTTGTCAAGTGAGCAGGTTAGATTCACAGAGCAAATTACTGACTCAGAGTTCAGAGTTCAAATCATCTAACTGAAAACACGGTAAAGACCCACCTGCATAAATACCAGGTCAGTTTGTCTACCCTCTGAACTGGGTTAAGGTCCAATCTTGTCTAAACAGCCACAATCAATTCACATCAAGTCTGTACATAAGAAAGATTTGATTATGATTAATGATTATCTTATTATGTGCACATCAGTGTGTTGTAACAGGAAGTAGTTTGGGGGCTCATAATATAAAAAAAACCCTGTTTAGATTGATTATAGCAGGACCTTCCCAGCAGCACGGTAGGTATACAGCTTCATTCTATTTATATATCATTACATAATCTTTCACACACATAAAAAGTACTGAAACTGCATATAGATTAAAGTGACAATAGAGAATTTTTGTTTTAACTTTGTTATGATAAGTTAAAACAAAAATAGTTTCTTGCTTTTGACAGTAGGTAGGCTGATAGCAGAGGCCATGTTGCTAACGCTAACACTAGTAGCCGGCAACAAATGATTAAAATTGCTATTGGTTTGGGTTAGAGGTTAGGTTAGGTTTAGCATTGACCCACTCGGGTAATGACACAGTGCCACCATCATTACTACCACTTGGGGGCAAGAAAAGTTCTTTATTGCCACTTCAAAAAAGCTTGATGCATGAATAAGTGGAATGAGTTAATGCATAAATTGTCTCTCTTTCTGCAGGTTTGACAAAATGAGATTTTCAGCCGTTCTTTTTCTCGTTGCCATCTCCACGGTGTTGGCCGGTAACTGAATACCTTTCCTATAGGTGTCTTTATGTGCATATCTGTGCATGCGCACAAGTATACAGTTAACATTTTATTTTGAATATAAGGGTATTGTTCTGCAAAGCAAAAGGTGAATAAACTCATTAGAGCTACATGATGAATGAGTTGATAAACAGAAAATTAATCAGCAACTATTTCTTTTATAGCTGATGAATCATTTAAATATGTTTTTCAAGCAGTAAACTGTATATCTTTGGATTTTGGACTTTTGTTTGGACAAACAAAGACATTACCATGGGGTCTTGTAATAGGATTTTTTTTGTAACTCTTGACAAACCTCTTGTCTCTTAGGGAGTACAACCACAAAGACCTTGGTGTTTCCCACTGAGACGAGTACCAGTTTTGTTGAGATGGTCCCTCTGAAGCCCTTGAGCCTGAGGGCCTTCACCCTGTGCATGCGTGTGGCCACGGAGCTCAGTGGGGAGCGAGAGATCATTCTGTTTGCCTACCGGACTGCAGACTATGATGAGCTGAATGTGTGGCGTGAACTGGACGGCAGGTACACTGTAAATGATCATCACTTTGAAGGCCAACAACACAGATGCTGATATTCTGGATTTAAGATAGTATTAAAGATTAAGATGTTATATTTGGGAACCATATTCTTTTAGATTTAACTATTTTCATGAAAAAAAATATTGTTCATTTATTTATGTATTAGTATATCAAATAGAAGTTTACGTTATCACACAATCAAGGTAATGTTAAAGGAAAATAACTGGCACCTACCAGGCTCCATATTTCCTCTGATGTATTTTTATTTTATATATATTAAACCCAATGAAACTCTGTTTTAAAAGATGCATACCACTGATTTTTATATCTGTGTTTAGATTGTCCTTCTACCTGGCTGGAGAGGGTGTTCTCTTCTCAGTCCCTGAGCTCGGATCCCTAGAGACCCACCTTTGTTTCACCTGGGATTCCACTTCAGGTGCGGCTGCCTTATTTATGAATGGGAGGAAAAGCTTGACCAAAATTTACAAGAAGGGTCACTCTGTCAGATCCAACGGCAAGGTTCTGATTGGACAAGATCCAGATAGCTACTTGGGGGATTTTGACGCCAAACAGAGTTTTGTTGGGGAGATCTGTGACATTAATATGTGGGACTCTGTCCTCTCAGCCAGCACCATCCAAGATATGTACTCCGGGAAGACAGTGTCAAGAGGAAATGTTTTTGACTGGGAAACCGCACAGCTCAATGTTAATGGAGAGGTAGAGGTTATTACTCGTGAGCTGTAGATTTAATGCTCCCACACGAATATGGCGGATTAATGTAGGGAATGTAGCCACATTACACCTGTATGACATTTATGAAGAAGATGATTTCTTGATCAAATGTAAGTCAATGCAATTAATGATAAATACTAATTTCTTACTTCAAATTAGGGTCCTGCTGTAATTATTTTCAGTCCAATAAAAATGTATTGACAATGCCTGTTGTGGTGGAATGTATTACATGATAATGTCGCCTGCACAGATTTCCAGCTTTATCTCAATGTGTGGTCCATATAGTGACTCTCACAACAGTAGAGCTAACATTATCCTTGAAAACCACAAGAAAAAAATCACATCCATAAAAGTCAAAACTGGACTTCCAATCAAGCAAAGTGCAACTACCCCAGTGGCCCCAGAACTCCAGGTCCCGCAGAAGCTAAATCCTCACTGAGTGTTAGCAAGTCTGTAAAAAAAACCTGTGCAGTCTCTGGAGAGGTTGTCAAGTGTGACTCAGGAGGCTTTTTGTTCTCCTCACCATCATGGTTGCCTTTATCCTCCTCCATTCTCTCAGTGGTGGACTCTTCTTGTGCTTCTGAATGACTACAGCAAGAACAACAAGTGTGTACCCCTTTAGTTTATGGGAAAATGTGTGTGTTTTACACTGACTAATGGTCGAAAACTTCACATCACATCAGTCATTTATTCTAACAAAATATGAATAAACTCAGCTGAATCAGATCACCAATGGAGCTGAAATCAAATTGCAACAAAGAAAATGAAGTGGTTTTCTGCATTTCAGAAGCATAGACCTGCCACTGCTAAGGGCTAATCAATGCTATTACTTAACTGCTTAATCAAGAAAATAGTCAACAGCTTGTTCTATTATTAGAAAATAATAGTTCTACCTTCTTTTGTCTTAATTGAACAGTGGCTGAACAATAAAATCTAGTTTTATCCTTGTATTCAATCTCTCAAATAAAATGGCTGGCAGTAAATACAGTGTACTATATAGTACAGAGGGAGTGGTTTTCTAATCAATGCTATTACTTAACTGCTTAATCAAGAAAATAGTCAACAGCTTGTTCTATTATTAGAAAATAATAGTTCTACCTTCTTTTGTCTTAATTGAACAGTGGCTGAACAATAAAATCTAGTTTTATCCTTGTATTCAATCTCTCAAATAAAATGGCTGGCAGTAAATACAGTGTACTATATAGTACAGAGGGAGTGGTTTTCTACAGGGCCTCTGTTTACCTGCATGTTGGGGTGGGGCTGGCGCTGCGCTTCCTCTTCAGTTGTCTCCCTGCTCTATCACGTGACTGAGGCAGGTTCAGCTGCCTCACGTATGGCGACGGCTCTGAACTGTAAGAGGCCAAAACACAACATCCGCATTCAGCAGATTTTTGAAACGTGGACCTCCACAGCAGCATCATCTAAAATACTAAAAGCTAAATAATGTTGTACATATCACTTTTATATCAAAACATTTCTCAAAACCAAATAATGAATCAGGTGACTTTTGAACACTGGAAATAAATCATGTACATCACATCCACATAGCCCCCGTGGCACTCAAATTTTCCCTGGAATTTTCTAGTTTCAACACTACAATTAGCGTGATATATCGCATTTACCGTTTTCTAGCGGCCAAGCGTGACCTCTCCATGCACCCATACTTGTGTGTGTATGTGTGTGTGCACATGTGGTGCGACTGCATGCGAGAGAGACGGCAGTTTTTCCTTTTTTTTTTTTTTTTTTTTTTTTACTGTGAAAGACTGTGGCGGGCCCAAACCGAGAGTGGCGGCTGAAACACTGCTACAGGCCAGGGACCACAATGCGTCCATCTCAGTCTCAAAAATTAAAAACCTGATGAAGTCTGTTTAACAGCCACATTTCTCCACATATTCTACAAGGTGCAGTCTAAAGATGTGGCAATGTTGCTCAAGGTGAAGTACCAGAATACCAAGAAGTACATCCGATTGCTGTCGGGGTTCACCTTTTTGGATTTCATTGCTCAAGGTGAGTAGCCATCTCAAAGTTGCCTTCAACAACAAATAAACACAAGGATTTATGTATTTAGGATGGCTATTTTGGTTTTGCAATTTGGGTATCAATTTTACATCTGTTTTCAATGGTTATCTTACAGTAAATACAAGTTGGGCTTCCTGATGCTACCGAACTTGATGCTTTGATGAAACGAAACAACACATTAGTCGAGGAAAGACATCTTTTCTGAATGATAGAGGCCAGTCCGGATTTATGCTGACAGTACGTGACAGAATTCCTGATGCAGGTAGATACATTTCTCTGTCATCCATAAATCATTGATATTGGTTAAATCAGATTTTGGTTAAGTCATCATCAGTAAAAAGTGGGGAGTGTCTTACTTTATTCATTGGAACTGATCATTAACCAATTAGGTAAAGGAACTCTGGCATAAGTCTATAAATCTTTCATGTCTTGAACATAGCTGTGTTTTAAAGTTTAAGTGTTGCTTTATAATCTAACTGTATTTCTTATCTTATCATATTTGAAAGTGTAGTTATTTTTGTGTAACCTGATCTCTGATCAAATGAAATCTATTAACCCTAACTACCCAGCTCAGACACTGGAGGAAAACATCATTCTTGAGATACAGCTTGATCCTGGTCCAAGTCCAACAACACAAGATGGAATTTCAGAGGAAGGTGTTCTCAGTATAAAATAGTTGTAATCAATGTTCAAGGTTTTTCTGCTTCACAAATATCATTTGAGATGTCATGTCTCTGCCTTGGTACTATAACAAATTACATTATAAAAAATTATATTTTA